TCCAACTGCAGCTCGTTAAGCTGCACACCTGCAGTGACTTAACTTGGGTTTTACTCAGCTCTTAAGCCACTCCAGCAACAGTGAAATCATTTGCTCTTCACGCTATTATTAAATATTGTCTTCTCAATAGGGTTTTTACAATTGTGATACTCTTTGCCAACTTCCCTGATAAATCAAACCCCTAATATTCAGCAGGTATCTGAAAAGCAGCTATTTACTATACCAAGTACACACAAATATGTAACTATTCAAAAAAAAAAAAAAAAAAAAAAAAAAAATTTGCAGTTTAAGTGATGTGGATGACCATTGCATTGAAACTGGTGCAATCAGTTATATAACTGCATGTCACTCAATACTTTAGTGTGTCAAGTGATGCAAGAACCATTTAAAGCTTTTTTTTTTTCACTTAGCCTAAACACCATTTTAGCTAAAAATACTTTCTATAGGGACAGACTCTCCATATGAATATTGCGGCTTTTAAATGCTGTCTGTATTTAAAGTTTCTGGGAAGCATATGCTGTTTATGTATCTCTTGTATATGCAGAAAGAAATAGAGTAGATGTGGAGTTAGAGCTGCTCACCAGGGAAAGAGTACTGGGTAGGGAAAAAAAGGCTCTGCTGTGGGTATCTTTAGTATCGCTCAGATTTCTAGAGATGCTCTGTTCACAAATGGTTTCATGGCCTGCTCTGTGGAAGTAAATTTCTGACCATAGATGAAACTCTACAGGCAGAGTTCCCCAGGGGCAATCATGGGGGAGATTTTCTTCCTGTGAGTCTCCACCCGTAGAACTGAATTTATCCCTGAAGTAACTCTACTGATGTTGTTAATATTGCATGAGGGATCAATTTCCCTTACCTCATTTGTTTCAATTTTAAAGCCAAAGAGGCCAGGACAGCCACTCCAGAAGAGTAAACCACCTTATTTCCATTTTCATCTGTGCAGCTACAGCAATTTAGAGCCAGCCAAGAACCTATCCCATTGTCTCTAATGATGGGTTAGATTTTATGGTCAACATGGGATGATTTTCTAGTGAAGGATGTTGACACTGAAATAGTCCAAACCAGTTTAGAGCTGGACTCAGGTTACCTCAGGTTGGGGTACTGGGGGTTGAAAGTATCAAAACCATCTCCATCTTAAGTATTATATTAATAGCAGCTGAGTATAGGAGGCAGGAGGTAGCAATGGTATGTGTATTGCCCACAGTGCTTGAGATGTAGAATTTCTAGGTGAGTTAATAATGATCAAAAGTCTCACCCCTCACAGATAGCTGGTAACTGTATAAGGCTGTGTTAGAAGCTAGGTTCTAGGCATGGAGCACATTCTACTGCCCTTAAAGTCCTGAGACTTACCATTTCTGAGTGAGCCAGTGGCTGCGGTGCAGTAAATCCAGAGCTGTCATTCCTGTGATATGTTCTGTCTACTTTCCATCAAGTGCTGCTGACCTTCACACCCACAGAACTGCTTTTGCAAAGCAGTGCAAAGGTCCATGGCTTCCACACTCTGTTTTACATTGGCCACATGATTTATGAGCAGAAATCTTGTAAAAATGGAATTTCAGCTGCACTTTCTTAACTGACAGGCTGGCAAACATCTTATAAATCACAGTGCTAGTGCCAAAATCCCTGCCAGTGATGAAAACAGATTTTATCAAGCTTTGATTGCCTCCAAAACCAAGTTCCACAGAATCTTGTTCTAATTCATTACTAACTTGCTATTAGAAAATCTCACTGAAGGAACAATATTTGGTACAACACCAAGCACACAAAACATCTGCAACACCTGCAACTAAATTATATCTTGTGATAATCTAAACAATCATATGTCTTATTGTATCATGGAAAGAATGGGGAAAGTAACTTGACTATAAAACCACCACAAGTCCTGTGCACCATGTAATCAGTCTCATTTTATGCACTGACTTTCTTCACATCTGTGCAAATGAAGCCATTGTTACAAGCCACAAAGAGCTGTGGCATGTACTACATGCAGCTATGAAACCATGAGTGCTGCTACATGTTGAGTCTTGAAATGGAAGGTGGCACATCTGCTTTTGGCATAAGAGTGTAAATCAATCCAAGATGTTTATTAAAGAGTAAGTAACAACCTGTCCACATGCTCTTTCCTTCATCCAGCCTTGGTTTTGTTCTTGCTTTGTTATTTTCTTGGCAGTTAAATATGGGCTCTGCACATTGAATGTATGTGTTGTTTCTTCCCGTACGGATAACATAACATGTCACATAATATTTAACAAGTATCTGATGGGGAATGTTTTGGACAAAAACACAAGCCAAAATGAGGTGGGGAGGAAAGGGTCAGTACAAACAGCTACCCCACCGTAGACTGAAAAGTTTATTGCTTTGGATAAGGCAACTATGTTTCCCAATACTTTTTAAATGAATAAGACTAGCTAGATTTGATTTCATGTTCTAACTCTTGGCAATTAATGAGCAAAATTTGCACCAGTGAAGGATGGCAAGTATTTTCTTCCTCATCGATCAGAGGCATGAGCAAACATTAAAAAATGGAGTAGTCAGTATGGCTTGACTTTTTATTTACTGAAGGTATGTATACCTTCGACAGCTGGGTCTGCCTAAGCAGGACTGGTAGGAGCTTGTCTTTCACCGCTTGCATGGGCTGACCAGCAGGAAAGACAACACAGTATTGGCACTGATCGGTATTGGCACCAGAGGTTGGCTCTTTCTGGAGCAATTGCTGATTTATTTGGCACAGCCTGCAACACGTTCCTCTCCCACTGACTGGCAGCTCTAGGGTCTGCTGTAGAACAGCAGTCCAAGGACAATACCTTTTGTGGGCAGCCTCTTTCATGGGCTTCATGGATGAAGCAGCACTTAAGAGCCTGGATGTGGGGAAGAAGGCAGTGGCTCTAGGTCTGAGGTTAGAGCCTGGGACATGCAGTGCTGCTTCCTCTTCCATCAAAGGATGCACAGGAAAGTGTCCTAGGATGCCTGGGGAGAGGGACTCTAGGCAGGAGGAGCAACCTGTTCTGTGTCCCAGGGAAGGGACACAGAACATCTACTATGTAGCATGCTTTTTATAACAGTAACCACAGGTAGAAAGAAAATACCATGGAAGTGGTCTTCTTGACTTCCAGGTGAGGAGGTGATAAGAAAGTGATGCTGTTCTTCAAGTGCATTTCAGAACCAAGAGTCCTCTCAGACACTGAAGGGCTCATCCATTGGAAAGACAATCTCTCTTTTGTGTGCTGGCAGTGGTTTGTTTTGAAGTAAACAAAAAACAGTGCTTTCCTGGCTCATTTTTAAGAGACGAGGTTGGAAAACAGAGTGGCTAATGGGAGATGATGGATCAGGAAGGCTCGTTGTGCAGAACGGGGGATGGTTGAGAGAAAGTTTCAACAGAGAGGTCCATGCTGGGCAGGGAATAGAGGCTCCAGGAAGTGTGCCACCCAGTGTTTTATACTCGCACATTTAATTGACTAGACTGACCTCCAAACATCTTTGTAATTGTTCATTTCTTCTTTGTTAAAATGGTCAGCATATATTCAAAGGCCAGATTCCATATGCATATGTTACAGTGACAATGCTACCTATCAGCTCTGTCCCCGAAATTTGTTAATTGGGTCTCTTTTCATATGTAGCTGAAATATAGCTGCACGAGTGACCCAGGTGGATTTGCTCAGCAACACAGAATATACCAGGACAGAATTTATACCGCAGTTACCACTGCAGGCTAGAATTATCTTGATCAGAATTGTTGCAGCATCTTGTTATAATATTTTGGCCAGGACAAAAATATTAATTAAATCAAAATACTTGGGTAGAGCAGAAAAGAAAAAAAGCCAGTAATACTTTCTTACATTTATTTCACACACTCTTAAGTTTCTCCTTTTCTTTTCTTTGCTTCCATATGCCTGATAATGGGAGTCTGTGGAACTGAACCTTTTGCAAGTCACTGGTGTCAGCTGTTTGCAGAGTGCCCAGGACAGGTCTCTTCACTTCCATTTAATTTTGTCTTTCTATGGTTGACACATATTGTTATTTAAATGAATGCTTTTGAACTCAGATTTTTTTTTAATGCAAATGTGTGCTGCTTCCCTATTGAAAACACCAGCACTATGAAAAGTAGAATAAAGAGTAATATTCTCATGGCTGAAGGCCATTTTCAAGAATAGCTGAGGTAGCGAAGGTGCCAAGACACTGCAGACTGGTCACACCACCTCAAGGCATTTTGTGTAAGACAGTTAGGGGAGTACAGACAGAAGTGAGAGGCACTACATGCCTCACAATTTTAAGGTACTCTATCCCATCCTTCCTTTTGAATGCCATGTCTCAGTTTGAAAGTAGGTGTCCTCTCATATTTAAATTTTCAGAAGCTCCTTACCAGGAACCATAGGCTGAACTTACAGAACATCTTACAGGGAAGTATGGGGGAGAAGGAAAAAAAAAAAAACAAACCCTTGGTTTCCTTTAGAGTATACTTCATTCATGTCTTCAGGCTTTCCTTTTACCTATAATGTCTAGAAATATACTTTTTAAAAAAAGGTGAACATGGAAGTTCTCCGGTAATCACATGCCTCCCAGAGCTGGAGCTTTCTGCTCATCAAATATTACAAGATATGCAATAAACTACATCCCATTCCCCCAGCATCAAAAGGGTTGGTAACACCTGAGTTACATCCATACCTGATCTCTGCCAGACCAAGAGGCGTGTGATGCTGAAGCATGTGGACTGTCTCACCCCTCTTCCCATTGGACGAGCATCCACCTCGCAGCAAAAAATGACACAGTCTGTGCCCACTAGCACCGGTGCCAGCAATATTAGCAAACAGACCTCTGAGACTGAGCTCTCCCTTTAATCACAGAAGTCGTTGTTTTCTTTCAGTGTCAGTAGTTGTTGTTCCAGCCCAGGCTTTCTACGTGTTATTTCTGGACTATCGAAAACTTGAAGTGCTGCTTGCCCTGCAACACCAAATTTATGGATGAGGAGAAAACTTCAGTCTGCCAGGTGATAATTTGGCATCCTTATGTCACTGTTAAAATCCCTACAGCTGTAAATATTTATTGAATATGAAATGTACTCATATACTCCAGCTAGCACATTACCATACGAATAAATCTAACGTTAAATAAATCATCTGCACTCCATCTTTTATTCAGTTTATAAAGTTCTTTCTTCTTGCTCTGAGCATTGTTAGCTTAATATGTCTATTCAGAAGCTGAGCGATTCATGGTGTGCCTTGATTTCTTTTCTAATACAACGTTTTGCTTCTTATATTTCACCTTTTACAGCTTTTGCAAAGTTTTGATTTGATAGGACAAGAACAGTGAGGGCATTAGGACCAAGAGAAAGACGCACACATTGCTCTGTATTATGTCTGGCAACGTGCTTCCTGACTGAGTGCCGTAGTTATGTGTGAAACAAAGTCAGGGACCGACTAGTTCTCATCTGTTGATCACAGTTAACTTGAAGGCTCTGAACGGGGGAGAGCTGTCAGATCTGCTTGCAGAGATAAGGAGCTTCAATCCAGGCAGCAACTGGAAACTTTGAAGAAGCAGGATCTACTCTGGAAGGAAACTATAAGAAATGGAATTTCTTTTTACTTAGAATTTAAAAAGGAAAAAAAAAATCAAAACTTTAGTTACTCTTTTCATCAGCTAAACATGTGCTTTCCTAACTAAGCTGGGACTTTGTATAATAAAGGATCTACTTTGTCTCACGGGATCCATGCTACGTTTTACTACAGTAAGTGCAACATTAATAGGAATGTTATATTTTGTCTTTAAATAGAAAGCATGAAACGGCATCAGTGAAATGTGAGGGGAGCAAAAAAATCCTCTTGGCAGATAGTGAAAACCGGGGCTTTGCTGCAACCCGGGGACTGGAGTCTGAGGAAGATCCAAGTGATATTTAACATGACAGTCTGTATCGTTTTGTCACCAACAGCATGTTCTTGAGGAAGAAGTGCAGATATGGATCACGTAAGCTGCAATTTCTCTTGTTGTTGCTGATGCTGGGCTTTTTGCTACTGATGGTTACAACGCTGAACCCACCACCCAGCAACCAGAGCAAGGAAGGGACTTTCCAGCCTGTGGAGTTCAACCTCCGGGAAGGGTATCAGATGGGCTTTGCGGAGACCCAAGAGATGCTGGAGACCCAGGAGGAGAGCCAGCAGTACTACCCTCTGGATGGGCTATCCCCTTTCATCTCCCTGCGGGAGGATGAGCTGATCGTGGCCGTTGTATCGCCCACCGGCAAAAGGAACCACAGCAAGGCCAGGAAGGGCTACCGCGTGCTGAAGCAGCCGAGCAGGCGGCCGGAGGGGAAGGCAGAGGGGGACCCCGAGTCCCAGCTCCTGCCCCTTCCTCTGCAGGCTGGGGAAGGGGCTGCTGCGGGGGAGCCGCTCGGCCTGGAAACCCACGGCTTTAACGAAGAGCTCAGCGAGCGGGTCTCTCTGCGCAGGGACCTGCCTGAGGTACGACACCCGTTGTAAGTAAAACAGCCTATTTAATTTCTGGGAGAAAACTCGCCTCTTCCCCCGTCGCCGTCCCCCCGCGAACCTCTCCTCCTCTGAGCCCCGCGTCTTCCCGACCAAACTCTCCGCCCCGGTCCGGGGTAACGTTTCTTCTCCCCGTGCCGTGTGAGGAGCACCCCCGGCGCTCAGCGCCAGCCCTGCTCCCAGCCTCCCCGCGCCGGCAGCCCCGGC